GCCAACTAGAAATTGACATGTTACCAATTTGGAGAGGTCGGAGAGATGTGACGCTCTTTAATTACGTATGTAGTTGTATGAATTGTGAGTAAGGTAGTTTAAATTTTACTAGAAAAAATTTTACATGGGAAACAATAACATGTCCTCTCAAGGAGGACATGGTATTGTTTTCTAAAATTTAAAATATTGTTTAATTATTAGTTAATTATGAAAACTTTTAATTTATACGGAATTTTAAAGTAAAAATAAATACGGAAATTTAAAGTTAATCTGATTTAATGCTATAATACGTATCTTACATACATCTTATGTGCTTTAAATACATAAATCATAATTTTTATTTCAATATACCATTAAATTTCTATATAAAAATGTTTTAATAGCCAGCATTCCTCACACATCATTTCAATTAACAAAATATTTACTAAAATCTTTAATAATATAAGTAATCATAATGTTAAAATCAAAATATCCTAATCAAAAGGATATTAAAAATTAAACTACTAAATTTGTTCATATTATCATAAAGTTAAAGAAATATTGTAAAAATTCATTTTGTAACATAGGGACAAAATATTCCATCAGTTTAAAACCTTTTTCATGTACCTTATAAAAATTTACTAAAATAAAAATTAAAACAAAAAAGGATAAAGTCGAAAAGATATTTTAAGTTATTCTGAGAAAAAAAAAATACAAGACTAAAAGGGAAATTTTTCATAATTTATACAAATACAAATTTGTTAATTTTTAATTTTATTTACTTACTTACATTCTTTTTTTTTTTGTAGCCTCAGAATAAGCTTGCCTCTGTGGACATGTTCTTTCAACTTTTTCAAATTATTTTTTCAATTTTTATATTACTCATTTTTTACATTTTAATTTTCAATTATAATTTCATTTTTCCCTCATTCCTTGTAAATTTAATAAGGCATAAAATCATTAACCTGCATCCTATCCTTTTTTTATTCTATTTTGTTAATAATAAACCCATATCAATTTTTTTCTCAGCATTTTAATTTGAACATCTATAATTCTTGTGTCAGTATTTTTGTCTATTAAGTCTATATGAAGAACAACAAGTTTGGTGCCGAAAATTTGAATTCTTAACGTTTTAGCAGTAGTGGATAAGAAGGAATTGGGAGACATTAAGAAATGTAAACTCAAAATATTGAAATATATTTGATTTGAAAAGGATAAAATTGAAGTTTTGACCTTGTGTATATATTGATTTAAGCAAAAACTGGATGCAACATTTTCTGGAAGAAGATACAGAAGAGGAAGAAAGAAAAAATAATTTTAATTCGGCGGCTACGTGCACAACAAGTGCTTATCCAATTGCATTTAAACACTGTTCTCAAAATATTAATTTTAAAATTTTAACTGCAAAAGAACAGTGTTCTAAGTATAAAGATTATTGATGCAGTCCAAGTCATGCGGCTGTTAGCAACATTAATGCATTAAAGGGTATTAATATTAAATGAATAATTACAAGAATTTAAGAATATCCCTTGAGAAGCATACTTATTATTTTTTTCAATAAGATTACAAAAAATATTATAAAAACATAATTAATCTGTGATTATATCAAAACACTGTTGGTGGCCCAATTTTTAACCCATATTCTCTTCTTCATAATTTATTATAAAGAATTAAAACCAAAAATTTGTGGCCAATTTTTTTTTACCACATAATGAAAATGTTGGTGTAGAATAAATAATAACATTTCGATTTTTTTTCATTTTCTGAAAACTTATTTGCATAGAAAATAAATTTTCCGAAAAAAAACAAAGTATACATATACATATTGCATATCTGTCTGATCCCGCCTTTTAAATCCCGGTGTGTATTTTGAAATTCAATCTTTTTGCCTTTTATCACCTTTCCCATTTTCACTCAATTCTTGTAAACACATTCAGAATAAAATTTAGTAAAAAACAAACAAATATCTTTTACATTAAATTGGAATTACGAAAAGAAAAATTTAAATCTCATTCTTTCATATTGAATTTTATTTGTATATAAGCAGAGACATATACTCATATACATATTTACTTATATATAGCCGCTTAAGCAGCTTAAATATCAGAATATTTTTTGAGTAATATAAAAAAAACAAGGATATTTATTTCAAAATAATTTCAGATTAAAGCATAATATCCTTGAACCTCTAATCGATCCTTTTATACACAGAAAAAAAGAGCATGTATAGAGGATGTAGAAAAATAAATCTGTTTTCCAAAACTCATCCTTTTTCCTAGATCCTGGATTCATTTAAATATTTTATATATACAATATTTAAATAAAATTTTATATATACATAATTTTCATACCCATTTTAATGAGTTCATTCCCAAAAATATGCATGTATTTAAGCAAAAAAAAAATTGTATCCGTTTTTAACATATTCCTTGTTTTTTTTTTATTATTTTTTAGTTATTTTAGTGCTGGTACATTATCCTTAATAGTATCCTTTAAATTTATACACATATTATTTTATAATCACTGATATGGAAAAGTAGTCTGAAAAAAAATGCGGACAAAAAAAAATTCCGGATGATATTTTGTCGGACAGTGAAAACAGGATAATAATATTAACAACATTAATATAAAAATCAAAACAAAAAGGAGAAAAAATACCAGAATCCAAAAAATAAAAAATATATATATTATGAGCATTGCCTGAACTCAAAGCTCTAAAATAAAACAAGACCTCAAAAAAAAAATTTATATATATATATATATATGTATAAAAATACAAAAATTTCATCTGTGGTATTTTAAATGTGGTTAACCCGGTCAACCATTTTACATGGTTCCTTTTAGTTTTTTTGTTCTCCCAATTTATACCGAAAAGTTTTTTTTTAGGTGTTTTTCTTACATATAGAAACCCGCACTACCAAATTATTTGTGCATTATTTGAAACAATTTAACTTTAATTTTAAAATGGGTTTTTTATTTTTATAAGCAAATTTTTTAGAATTTTAGAGAAAAATGTGCTTAATGGTTTCGGACATATGACATAATCATTTCTATGAAAACCTGAAAAAAACATTACACAAAAAAAAATATATAAATCTTTTTATTTAAATCCAAATGGAAGCAACGTTTCTGGAATTTAACATATTAAGAAACACCCAATCTTTGCTAGAATTTAATTTTTTGTTTGCATTACTTATATGGTCCAAAATTTCTGCCCATTTATTATTGCAATAAAACTTTGAACAGACTATGAAACAGTCCGCTAATTGTTACTGCTCAAATTCAAATGTCCAACTCCCTTAAATGATCTTGAAATATTTTAAATCTTTTATATTAAAAATTATAATTTTGAAATGCTACATCAAGCAATGTTTCTGTTCTGTTTAAAGTAATATTTATTTTTATATGTATATCGCATATCAAAATGTGCTGTATTACAATAATTTTTTGTTACAAACTGATTTTATATTTTTTTCCATATTTTAATATCTATTTTTAGAAATGTGATCCCGACAAAAACAAAAAGTTTAAAAAGTATAGTAATAGAGGATAATAACAAAAAAGTAAAGTAATTTTCTAGTTATATGTGCATATTTTCTATACTTTAAGAATGTAATAACAATTTATTTTTTGATATGATAATGAAAATTTTCCTAAACAAAGGGGAATAATTATTGTGACTTTAAAATAAAAGTTTAATAACGGCAAAAACAATCATGTTAATTAAAACATTAAATATGAGAAAAATATTATGTTATAATAGTAGTAAGGTTTCCAAAAAGGACCAAAAGTAGATCCAAAATGGTAAAAGTAGGCAATTCAAAGCTGACGATTTAGATTTTAAGAAAACTAGATGAATAATGACTAAATGGAGAATGTTGACTATTTATTCAGAAAAATAAATCAAAATTGTTTTAAACATGCTCATAATTACATATATTGAAAATACTGGAATCCTATTGATAACCAAAACGTATTAATTAATCAACCAAATTCTGCTGCTTTTTTGGTCACCACTTCAATGGATGGCTGCCTGGCAATTGTTTCGGCTGATCATTCTAATATATATATAATCTAAAAACACATTTTCTTTTTGATTGAAATACATTTTTCCGATAAGCTGTTACTAGAGTTTAATTGGAGTGGAGAATTCTAAATGACTTTGAAAAACGATTATTAAAATTTTTTTAATATCTTTAACATTCTAATATCTGTTAAATTCTTTATACACAATAAAAGCATCAAATTTTAAATCATAAAGCAAATCATAAATATTTTAAAAATTTAGCTTTTAAAACTTTAATTTATTGAAATCAATAATTTATTTTATATTTTTATTATTAATTTATAAATTTAATATTATTATTAATAAATCTATTTTATAATTTTAGTAAGACATAACCAACCGGTTAAATATCATACTGAGGAAAACTAATCCAGTTAAAATTTTCTCACATTCGTGCATGAAGTAAAATACTTTTGGACCCAATTGCTCTTTATTAAAAACACAAAATACTGGATAAAACCATATAAAACTCATATTTTGTACAAGGAAATCCTGCTGACCGAATTCGTTAAAACAAAAACAACATGTAATTCTGATATAAATGTTTACCGAGTACATGAACAAGTCGACTACATGATCATTTAAAGAAAAAACAAAAGGATAAGAATTTCAAACAAAAAACGCATGACTAAATTGAAATCTTAAGTTATTTTTATTCTAACTTTTGTTTTTATATTTTTTCTATACTTTATTGGTATTGACATGTCCTGAATTTTCAATCAAAGCCAACATGCTAACAGCACAGCATACATTTAAAAGCCCCCCAATGCGTATAGACAACATAAAACATATTTTTATAAAAAAAAAATCATATCCTTTATATTAAGTTGAACAGGAGCAAAAAAAAATAGAAGAAAAAAACAAAATTATAGTTAAATACTCCAAAAAAAAATTCAACTGACCCTTGCATATATATAAGCATCCAACTGATTACTATTCAAACCATTTTGCCGAAAGCATTTCTCTTTGAATATTCTACCCAGAGTATTTGTAAACGGATTCAAGGCATAAAATATTTTCTTTTTTTTGTTGTAACGTTCCTATGTTAAATTTTTACTTGAAATTTTGTTTTTTCTTCCATATCGGGTATCGGGTAAATAAAACAACAATAAAAATATTAAATTTCGTTCTTCTGATCAAAAGGATCAAAAGAAAATCCTTATGAAAATATAAAATTAATTTTAATTTTTTTCTGTTTTGCATTTTCATGTTTTTTTTTATTTTTATTATTGCATTTCATCGCATCAGAACCAATAGGAATTTCCAAAAGCAAAAAAAAAATACCAACGAATTGCATCAAATAAAATACGTACTGACTGAAATTATTCACAATTAAAAATAATTTGTCGATTTGTACCTGCCTCAGTGTTCTTTCATTTGGAAATAAAATATGAAACAAGAAAATATCACCAATATTATACAAAGGATTTAAAAAAATAATAAATTAAGGATTTCTTTATTTAATTAACTTCGATTGGAAGGATTTTTCATCAAAATATTTTTGGACCATCATAGCAATTACAATTTCATTTACAATTAATACTGGAAGCAAAAAAAACCAAAATGTTAATGAAAACATTTTCAAAGAAATCATTTTTTATTTCAAATTTATTTTTAATACAAAGGATTTTCATTATAATTTTTATCTGTCTTACAATTATTAAAATGTGTAATGGTCAATTACAACAGGGTAGCGGTGATGAAAATTGTGAAACATTAAAATCAGAAATTCACTTAATTAAAGAGGAATATGATGAATTAGGACGCTTGCAACGTACATGTAATGCTGATGTTACGGTAAATAAATGTGAAGGATTATGTAATAGTCAAGTACAGCCATCTGTAATAACACCAACTGGATTTTTAAAGGTAAAATTTTTTTTTATTTAGTTTAAATATTAATGTATGAGTCGATGAGATCATTAGTGTCCTAATTGCAAAATGTTGATTTTTGGGTAAATGAATTGTGAACGTATTTTTAATTTTTAAGAATCAAATCAAGTAATTGTGTAATGAAGAAATGATTGAGACTGTTGATATAAAAAATCAAGGCCGTAACCAGTTTTGATTATTTTTGCTCAAATTCAAAATTCCCCAATATGTAAAGATTAAAGCCCTTTATTCGATAGAGAAACAACAAAATACTACGATGATTGAAGAATTTAGTTCGAATGAAGTTCAAATTATTAATGGTCGTTAAAACAGAAAAATATGAATTTGTGAATTAGGCCACTAATATTCTGACTCATATGTAATTTGTAACACAGAACATAATTATTGTTTATATGTTATGTTACATGTATATTTACATATATAAGAATATAATATATTATGTAAGATTTATTGTGTAATAAATTAAGGAATGTTATTGCTGTCGAGAGAGCTATTTAAGAGAACGTACAGTAACATTATCACATTGTTATGATCCAGATGGTAGTAGATTAATGTCACCAAATATGGCAATTATGGATGTACGTTTAAAAGAGCCAGCTGAATGTAAATGTTTTAAATGTGGTGATTTTTCAAGATAAACTCGCAACTAAAACAAAACATTTACAATATTATAATTTAAAACATTAATAAATGAAGAGTTTGAATAAATGAAAAAATATATACATATGTATAATATGAAAAAATATTGAGGTTATATAAATAATCCAATAACAATAAATAATTAATTTCTTTGCAATACAACAACAACTGCAATAAAACCAAACCCAACAAGAGTAACGTAATGAAAATAAAAAGAAATATAAAATATAAAAATGTTAACATGTAAATTTCAATTAATTTAATTATATGGGAGTTACTTGAATAATTTAAAAAATATTTTATTATAGCAATTATTATTTTATTGTGTGTGTTCATAATAATAAAATTAAAAACTTTAAGTTCAAATTTTTCAATGTGAAAATTAAAATATATTGACTTTTAATGGGTTACTCATAAAAATGTTGAATGTATAGTGTTTTTATTTTATTAGAAAAGTTTCCTTTTTAGTATTGAGCAACAGAAAATAACAGAGTTGAATTGTTAATATGATTATAAAATCAATTAATGCAATTGTTAACTCGTGTGTCAGATAATTCGTAGAGTTTTATGAGTTATTGTAACACATGAGATGTTGCAACTTCCGCGAATCTCAGAACTCTTTTGATATCGCAACTTGATTTAGTTGTGGATTTGTACAACTGGGGTACCTTACTATGTAATTTGATTTTCGTCTCCATTTTTGCAAATACTAAAATCATTTAACGAAAATCAAATTACATTATAAGGTCCCAGTTCACTGCAACCGCGTATAAGTATCTTTTGCGCTCCCTTCCCCATCTGAGTGCACGACATATCCTGCAACATCTGCACTAGAACCACTATCCTAATGAAAAATTACATTATGCAATTACATTTTCTTTTATTTTAGATATTTTGTAGCAATTATGTACATATTTAGAAGTGCTTATTTACTAAGAAAACACATTAAGAGATTTTGCCTTTTCTTAAATTAAAAACCCACATATCCCATATCCTTAACCATTTTGCAATTTAAGCATTAAACCGATCAAGGTTAAATGAATTTTGAAATCTAGTAAGGAGGATTTATCATTCCATTGAAAAAAAGGAGAAAATATAAAATGTTATTTTCTCGTTTTTTACTGTATTATTTGTTTTGTTTCAGTTGACAACCTGTAATAATTCGAAACATGACAGCAGAATGTCAACAAAGATGAACAAAAATGTCAACAAAAGAAAGTTTTTAATATTATTATTACATACATATTTTCATTTCTTTCGTTTATCAAACAAAGCAAAAACAAAATGTCAAGCAGTATTCAAAAAAAAAAATTTTACTTGAAAACGGATGACATTTCGAATTTTTTTTTCTTTTGTTATCATTTTTTATGTAAGCAATAACAAAAATCACATAAAAATAAAATATAAATAAAATCTATATAATAACGGTATAATAATCTTGATTGAAATAATTCAGAAAACTCAACAATTCAAAATAAAAAAAAATAAAGTAAAACTGATAAATATAACAGTTAAACGTTAACAGTTATAATAGCATTGAAATGGAAATGAGAATAAAATAAAAAATCAAACAAAATGAGAAAAAAAAACCCTTTAGGACTTTCTCTTTCAATCAAATGTCGCTACCCCTATTCAAAAACTAAGTTGATTTGGAAATGAGAAGATATAAAAAGGTAAAAATATTAATAACAAAACAACAAGTTAACGTAATTCAAGCAACACAACAGTAACAGCAACCGCAACAACAAAAATAACAATAATACAAAAAAATGTTTTTGGCAAGTTTTTATTTTTTTATTTTTGACAAACAATAAAGGACAACATTTCGGTTTTCTTTCTGAAAATATAAAATAAAAAATACAGCAAAAGAGAAATTGAAGAAGTCAGAGAGAGAGAGGGAGAGAAATAGGAATGTTACACAGACTGAGATGGGGTAACAAAGAATATGTCAACATGTCATGTCAAAACTGACAAAAGATATCAGAAAATAAAAACAAAATAAAATACCGCAAAAACCGAATATTATTTAAAAAAAAAATGAAAAATAATTTATAAAACAATCAAAATCCGAAGAAAAAACAGTAAAAACAGTTTGGAAGCTAAAAACAATAACGGAATTAAAGCACAAAAAACATAATGTCACGAGATAAAATAAAAATTACATGACATAAGAGGGTGGAAAGTTTCATTTAAATTTTTTTGGTTTTTTTTTTTTTTTGTTAAGGTTTTGAAAGATTTTTAAGGATTTTCAGACATTTTTTGTTATTCCTTTTTTCTTTTTCTTGCAATATTATAGAAAGAAGTGTGTGTAAATGTCAAATTCGTGTTTACGTTTTTTTTTTTTGACAGTGAGACGGGTAATTAACTCAACTTTACTCGCCAAAAAAAAAAACAATATAAGCGAAGTAGTTACTCATAGCAACTATATGATGACCGTATTAGATTAAAAAATAATTGAATTTGTAAGAGAGGGTAGATATCAAATTAATAGCATTGTAATAGTTGATAGAGCCGGTAAAAATTTCAAACTCGATTTTAGGCTTAACAAGGTGAATTGGACATTTGCTTTAGCCAGTTTTAAAGCAATCTTTATCAAATTTGAAAAATCGTTTGTTTTATTTTTTGAAGTAACAAATGGAGCGAGAATTTTAATACCTTACAAATATACGAATCATGTTAGTAAAAAAGGTAATTCATTAAAATGCTTTTGAAGTAGGGTAACTTTTATGTGTTCTATTGTGTTCCTCCTATTGTCATATTTCATTTTAACAACAGATGGCTTTGTAATTTATTTATAATAAGTGATTTATTATAATATGCCTAATAAAAATTATTAAAATGAAAATAAAAAAATGCACAGTAATTCTTGTAGAATATAAAAAATACAAAAACAATTCGAATAATTTTGTTCTAAAAAATGTCGGTAAATTAGTAGAATGAAACGAGTAGAAAATATTATGGAATAATTGTATGGAAAATCATTTTTCAATTATTGTGATTACAGAAATTAATGTAATATACTAAACGGACATTTAACAATTTTTCCAATTTTTAATTACCAGACCGCTTAGCCAAGTTGGCGGTAATTGCTTTGATTATATCAAAAAGCATCTTTACTTTGCTTACATCTAAAATCATCTTATCAGATCATTTATATCGTTTATGTATGAGAACCTTGCATGAAGATAATACTAGAATGCTGAAGCTGCCACTATTTAAGGAATTTTTGATCGACATATTGTATAATAAAAAGAGTACTGTAAAAGAGCTGTTGTATACGCAGATACCGTAAAAAAGAGCGTGTCTCCGCTAAAGTCACAGGTACTTTAACAGAATATATCCAACAGGTTACATATAGTCCAATTAAGTGAGAAACGGAAATTGGCTGTGTTTGAACTTATATATATACATATATACATATGTATATAAAAACTTAACAAAATTTCTATGTAAAATGTAAGAAGTAGCATTTAAGTTTCTGTAATATCTAGCTAAAAATTTTAGGATGTTGAAGATATTTCAAAACATTCTTGTTTCAATCTTGAATGTCAAATTTTTAAGGTAATTTAATTAAATATACTTTGTTTAAAATTTTTTGTTTATATTCGGTTTAAACAAACTAAAAATATCGTGAAAATTTCGGTTTTTCGAAAAACAAAGTTTTTAATAAAATACTGTAACTCTAGTTTTTCTTTTTAACTTCTAATGCCGTAATTATACAATCATTTAATAAATATAGCTGTATTTAAAATTTCGAACGTTAAATTTGATTTCAAACATGATTTACGAGAAAATTTTATTTTTCTTTATATATTTTCTTATATACAGAAACAACAAAACCTTATGTTATAATGTTAACTCATGCCAATACGAACTGTTATAATGTTAAAATGCCAATACGAACGTATACCAAGGCGAACGTATCGCAAAACTTAATTTTATAAGGGTCTTGTTATAATTCCATTAAATCTCCTTTTAGAAAAGAAGTTTCTTAAATAACTTTTTGTCAGTTTCAACAGCGTAATATAAAATTAAATTAAAAACATATTAACACAAAGATATTCATAAAATGAAAAAAATTATAAAAAACAATAATTTTGTATATTTTGTTTTTGTTTTTTTGGCTAAACTCTAAAATAAATAAAACCGGCATTAATAACTTAAAAACGTAACTATTCTCATCCTTAAATTCATTCATTCCCAGTCAAGAGGAACCGAATAAAAAAAAACTGAACTAAACTAAAAAAAAAAATAAACTTCTTTTTTCAAAATTAAATTTAAATCTCATTCTTTACTTCCTTCCTTGCTTTGTTCTTCTCTTTCTAATGTTTATATGACAAACTTGTTTTCCTTGTCTGTAATTTTTTAATTTTTTTATTTTAATTCTCGTTTTCTTTATACTAAATGGTTAAAAAATTTGAACAAATAAAAAAACGCAGACAACACCGAAAAAAAACTCTATTTTCATTTCTTCCTTATCCTTCCACCGCGTTTCTCTTTGTATTCGTTTGCCATCTCTTGTATCTCTTTCCTTTTCATCCTTTTTGACTGTTCGTTTGCTATGTAAAAAAGTCTGCAAAACAAAAACGAAACGAAAAAAAATATAAGTAAATCAGAGAAAAGTAGAAAATAAATAAAAATAAAAAAGAATAAAAAAAAAAAAAGAAACGGAATTTGCACAAATGAACCCTCCATCGCCTTAAAGCAATTTCTTCTCAGCGAACAGCAGACACTAATTCGATTCGATAATAATCCCGCCAAAGGGCATGAATTGTAATTTCCTTTTTCGCGGAATTAACTGTTGGGGATTTGTTTTACGGCTTAACGTTACAAAGCAAAACATAAGAATAATAAAAAAAAAAGTACAGAAAAAAAATATCCATTTAATCATTAGATATGCTTTATTTTACAGTGTCATGCCACAATATCCAACACTTTACCATGAGCAGGAGGTTATTTATATACATATGTGTCCCAAATAATAGAAGGAGTGTTACTGCAGTCAGTTTTACCATTATATCGAAAGTCATCTTTAAAATTCAGAAAAGGTGTTATGATAGCGTAAAAATTCTCATCAAAATGACACTGCTTTTATGATAGAAGGATCATGGAGTAAATGGATAAGATGAAATTTTCTTTTCAAACAGGTAAATATCGATTCGCAATATGTTACATTCCACTCATTGTCTTAAATTTCTTAAGAGCCGGGTTGTTATTGAAAATATAATACTAGTAAACGATTAATTGATTTTGAGATCTACGAAACTATTATTTACGAAGGTATTGTCATCAAAATGACAGCA